GTAGAGTGCTGTGGCATTACAGCTCACAGCAACCTCCAACTCCTGGGCTCAAGCGAGTCTCCTGCCTCAGCCTCCCAAGTAGCTGGGACCACAGGTGTCCGCCACAACACCCGGCTATTTTTTTTTTTTTTGGTTGCAGCCATCATTGTTGCTTGGCGGGCCCGGGCTGGATTCGAACCCTCCACCTTAGGTGTATGTGGCTGGCGCCTTAGCCACTTGAGCCACAGGCGCCAAGCCAGAAGTACTTTATATTTTATTTTATTTGCTTATATTTTTTAGAGACAGGCTTTCACTCTGTTGCCTGGAGTGGAGAGCAGTGACTTGATTACAGCTCACTACAGCCTCAAACTCCTGGGCTCAAGCAATCCTCTTGCCTCAGTCTCTCAAGTAGACTGTAGGCACACAATGCCATGCCTAGCTAATTTTTGTATCTTTTATAGAGATTGAGTCAGGTCTCACTATGTTTCCCAGGTTGATCTGGAACTCCTGTCCTCAACTGATGTTCCCACCTTAGACTTCCATTGTGCTGGGATTCTCCGCATGAGATACCACACTCTATATTTTAATATTAATTTGTTACATTTTAAAATAACAATTGACTAAAGGGCAGACATATTAAGATGGCAAGGAAAGCATAAATTTAGGGTATTTTAAAATAATAAACTCATGAATTTTTAAACTGATTATAGTGATTTTTCAAACTACATAAGAAAAGGACCAGTGCTATGAGATGCTATGACCCTTAGTACTTACCACCTCATGGCCAGTTTTTCTCATCTGACCCCCTACTGACTCCATCACCCACTCCATCAATTATTTTGAAACAAATTCCAGTAATCATAACTTCCCCCCCATAAATATTTCAGTATGTCTCTCTGAAAGAAAGGGATGTCTAAAAGAATTAATAACTTGATGTATGATCAATGTGAAGTCAGTGTTCCAATTTCCACAGTTGTCTCATAAATTTTTTTTACATAAGCTCAGAGTTGAAGTGTAGAGCAACAACGAAGAGCATGATGTTGAGTCTTCAACCTGCTGATGAGAATTAAGCATGTACTGCAGCTCTGCTGTGCACATGTAGCCATGCTTGTCCCTCACATGGTCACGTAGGGATCTGTGGTTAGTGAAGTATGGTTGTGCGTCCACATGATGTATTATTTTTATCAGATTTTATTGTAGTATAAATTCTTAGGAACTGAGAAGAGAGGGTATTTGTGTGCAGCATGAGATGAAGAAGGAAGGTGGGATGAGTGTATGAGTATGGGTAAAGAGGACACCCAGGCCCGACCCCATAGCTCTCCTTTCCCTCCTACAGCACTGTCTGCCTCAAACATGGTCTTGTCATTTCTCAGCAAATGTTCCTGCCCTTGCCAGTCCTGATCCTGTCAGCTCTCACTGAACGTGCTGTCTGCCAGCTGTGTTCTGTTAGTTCTGTCTAAATGTTCCTCACCTTCCTTATCCCGTTTTGCCAGCTCACTAACATTCTTCATTTCCTCACTCCCATCCTGTGAGTTCTCACTGAACATTCCTCATTTTCCTTATGCCATCCTGTCCATATATAGTCAGTGTTCCTGTTTTTTCCAAGCCAATCCTGTCAGTTCTACCAATATTTTTTATTTTCCCTGTGAAATCCTATGGATGACCCTATTGGAACAATTACAGCATTTCCTGCTCAGTCTTGATTTTAACCAGAATCCAATGAGAAGGAAAGGGAGTTTGCATGATGTTTCCTCTACTTTATTCAATTTTGATCTTTGCTACACAACCTTTTCCCCCTCTGTGAGTTTTAGCAGTGTATCTGGCAAAAACAACATGCAAGATTAACTAACCTCTCTAAGTAAGTTTTTTATAATTTTACATATATTTATTATTCCCTGTATTGTGCATTTTATTACTCATCATTAGGCCATGGTGGAGCCAAGAAGTTACTTGGAGGAGTATCAGATGAAATGCATTTGGACACCATAATGTAGCGTGACATGTTTATTGAAGCATGTTTACTTGCATTTGAAGGTGGTTGCTGTTTTGATGGAGGAGGATCGTCTGGCAGCTGAACCGAGCTGGAATGTCAGGGCTCAAGATAACACCTTTCTTATCAGCGAAAGCTCATCTCAATTGAACACCAGCCTGCCGTTCCTTCAAAGTAAGAACACATCCTTCTTGAATGTGTTTTTAAATATTACCTTTAAACATTGATAATGAATTAATAGTCTTTAATATTACATTTTATTTTAATGTCATGGAATTTATTGTATATAAAAGAGAATGACTCAATACTTAGTTTCCTTTAAGTTTATTAAATTTGAGATTAACCACTTTTATAAGATGATTAAAAGAGGATATACAGTAATTTAAATAAGCGAGAGTATTTAAATGAGCAGAAACTGAGAGTTCCTATGTTTCTTTGAAATCCTATTTTTTTAAAAATTCAATTTCTTTTGATTTCTTGGGGTAGAGGAAATAATTGGAACAACATGAAAGTCAGTTTGGAGCAGTGTGGATATACTGAGATTGTGTGTTGATTTACAGTTATAGAATCTAAAAAGCCAAACAAGTGAAGCACATATCAAAAGTAATGTATAATTGCCTGTAATATTTAAATTATTTTTAAAAAGCTTCATTTATAAGATGAAATTTTAATTTCTTTAACTAATAACCTCTTTGTCTTTAAAAAGTGACTATGAAGATAACTGTTAGTGGTTGGAGTCCTGGTTTGCACAAAGAGGTGACAGGAGCAGATGACCCAAGGTTGGCATCTCTGCTGCCCTGTGCATGGCTCCTGGGTCCGCATGGAGCAGAGCAGCCAGCATGGCTCATTCTAGGCATTTCTTCTGTCCTGCCTGCTATTTAGAGATTCCAATTTGTGTACATTTCTGTCTTTTAACATTGTCACAATTGGCATTGCTATTTTAACAAGTCTTCAGTTGTTTGAGGGTATTTTGTTTATCTTAAACAAAAGGATTATCCTATTAGAATATAGCAAATTCTGGCTCGGCACCTGTGGCTCAAGTGGCTAAGGTGCCAGCCACATACACCTAAGGTGGTGGGTTCGAATCCAGCCCGGGCCTGCCAACCACCATGATGGCTGCAACCAAAAAATAGCCGGGCGTTGTGGCGGGCGCCTGTGGTCCCATCTACTTGGGAGGCGGAGACAGGAGACTCGCTTGAGCCCAGGAGTTAGAGGTTGCTGTGAGCTGTGATGCCATGGCTCTCTACCCAGGGGGACAGCTTGAGGCTCTGTCTCAAAAAAAAAAAAAAGAATATAGCAAATTCTTATACCTGTAACATTGACAATATTGGCATCTGCACTTCCACATCCCACCCCCCAGAGAAAAGAGAATTCAAGATGCTCAGTGCTGAGGGAGCTGACATGGACCAGAGTGACTGCAGGCCACTCACAGGTGGACCCTTCTTGAAAACACTATGCATGTTCTTAAGGGATTTCCCACTTGTGGAGGTTTTTCTTGTTTGCCTCTTTCTGTGTTTTAGTGAAATGAGGAACATGAGATTGGGGAAGGGGGGGTGTGAGTAGGTCGTCTCACCTCTGTGAACTTAAGGTTTGGCTCACAGTAGACCTGTTCTGATCAGATGTGCTGCTTCAGCTTTCCTAGCACCTGCTGGAGGCCATCCTCATGTTAGAGCATGTGCAGTAGAGTCAGCCGCGGTCAGCCGCAGCTGCTCATGCACTCACTCACGTGTTCACCAAGCACTTGGTGGGTGCCAGCGGTGTACTGCGCAGTGTCATGGCAGCTGGGATTCCACAGCAACAGCTACAGAGGTGGCAGACAAAAGCCTTCCCTCCTGGAACTTACATTTTGGTGGGTCAAATTGACTGTGAACTGGCTAAGAAAGTAAAATATACAGTGTATTAGAAAAGGGTAGGTTCCAAGGAAGAAAATAAAGTTGATTTCTGATAGAGAAAGCCTAACTGTAAGTGAAAAACAGAGTGAGAAAGTGGGCCATGGAGAGCAGTAGCTAACAGAAGGGGCCACATGCACACAGCTGTGCACATCTTGCAGCTTGGTTTTGTGGGAAGAGCAAGTAAGGACAGTGACAGCCTGTGATCCTGGGTCACATCACATCACACTTGAAGGGTTTCTTGTCATCCACACTACAGGACAGGGTATTCAGGTACAGGCTTTGGCCATTTATCAAAACTCACATTACATATATGTACTGTTTGAAAAGGACCGTGTTTCTTCATTATACTGAAATTTATCTGAGTATTCTCAAAAGTGTTAAGATGGATTTCTGGCACATCACTAAAATGCAAAAATATTTTTCTTATCCCTAGATCGAGAAGTATCCTGTTTGCACGTCTCTCAAGTTCAGAGGCAGACAGTGGTCTCTGCTCATGGTTTACCTGAGAAGGCATTTGCTCCCCAGCTGGATCGCAGATGCATCCTCTGTGTGTGGGACATTTGGCAGCCTTCAGGGCCCCAGAAGGTTCTGATCTGCGAGTCCAAGGTACAGCTCAGGAGCAGAGTTGCTCGTGCAGTGAGAGGCTGGGTGGTAGATGGTCTAGAAAGGTGCTGAGGAGAGAGGGTACAGGCCCCAGCAGTGGGTAAGGACGGCACCTGTTCCCCTCAGCTCTGCTGTGGGTCCACAGGAACGGAGGTGTGCTCATTGTACTCTAGGGATTGCCAGTTCATGGGGTCACCTCAGGAGTTAAAGGAAATACCCAGGATTATCACAGACAGGAGGTACCCTGTGCTGTTGGAGGCCTAGTGAAAGCCTTGGCCAGCCCAGATGTAGCTCTGGCATCCTGGACATACTGTTTGAGTCCTGGATATCTTAGAGATCTCATGACATCCCCTGGACCCCAGACTCTGTGCAGCACAGTGCTTGTTACATGTGCTTCCTCTCTGGTGGGGGAGATGCTTGTCTGTGTTGTCCTCGGGGTGTGTTCCTTGATCTCAGAGCCAGTGATTCCACATAGCCATAGAGAAAAGCGACTGTCACAGGTGCCACTTTGGGAGCTTGGAAATAATAACTTTTTGCAATTATAAGATGTAAATAAATGACACAAGAGGGAATTGCCATTTTGAGGTCTAGCCAGTGGACGTGCACACCTGACGTGTGTCCTGTGCGTTCTATGTGTGGTCCTGACAGTCCTCCAGGGGCGGTCACCCCTCCTTTCCATTTGAGGAAACCAACACCCAGACTAGTTTTATTTTACTTATGTGCAAAATTCCATGCAGCACGACTATACACTGTGGAAGGGTCACACACCACAGTAGTAGACGTGGCTTCTGTGAATGCTGTTCTCACATTCACCAGTCATTAGCTTTCTGTATGTGTGTTTTTAGGTCACGTGTTGCTGCTTTAGCCCTTTTAAAGCATTTTTACTGTTTGCTGGAACAGTGCACGGCTCAGTGGTCGTGTGGGATTTAAGGGAAGACTCCAGGGTGCACCATTACGTGAGGCTGAGCGACTGCGTCTGGACGTTCCGGACACCAACCTTCTCCACTGGTCAGTGTCTTTGTCTGTCAAGTGTGTCTTCTAGAAAAGCCAGAACACATTTGAGGAACAAAGTTTTACTTTTTCATTTGTGCTTATTCATCCAGATTATTCCAGGATGCCATCCCTCTCATGAGCAAAAGAGGCATTTAATAAATAGAAAAAAAACATTACTTGAATGGTCAAGTAATGCTTAGATTTTTTTGGTCAAAAATGATTAGAATTTTTTTTCTTATTAAATTTGTGGATTCTCAAAAATCTTCAGTGAAGTAACTTGTAGTTTTAAATTAGCTTTAGCCATTTTGGGATGTGTGTACCCCTGCGTAGATTTGACAAAGCTTGAACCAGTGAGTAAAAATCGTTGCTTCTTAGGGGATGAAAGGAACCAGAACAACTGAACCTCCCCCACCCCTGGGTTTTACTTTGATTCAGGTGGACAACTGGTGCCATGCCGGACCTCAGCTGCCACTGCAAGTCCTTAGCATTCCCGGTATTCTGGAACTTTTCTAAGTACTTAGTTGGCACCATCTCATTTAATGCTCCTAGCAGCCCTGTATCCTGGCAGTTCAGGATGATGAACCTGCCGCAGTCTTGCAGACTACCTGAGTGGGGCCTGCCCTGGACTCTGTGCCCTTAGCTGACCACCCTGCTATAGGGGCTGGAGTCCCACAGGCTCACTCAGGCTCCCTCCCTGATCAGTGTCTCCTCTGTCTTAATGGAGGCACACCTACCAACACTTGGTCTTTCCTCTCTTTTCCACTGATCTCTTTTCTGTCTCTGTTTGCCTCTTCTAGTCACAATGCATTTGAGACTCCTTCCTTTGCCACTCGGTGCCCGAGCTCATTCTTCTTGTGCTGGTTAGCTGCCATTGTGCAGATGCTGAATTCACACTTACCTACTTACCAGTTGCTGGGCATGTGCTTGACTCGCTTGTTGGTAATTATGAGTGAAGTTACACAGAGCAGCAGGGGCTGTACCACTCGCACTCCCAGCAAAGTCTGAGTTTCAGTCACTGCACCCTCACCAGTGACTGAGGTATTATGCCAGTGCTTCAGAAGAAAAATCTGGCCATTCTAATAGGCGTATAGTAATATATCTCATTGTGGTTTTAGCTTTTGTTCCCCACAGGCTACTGATGCTAAGCAGATTTTCATGAGTTTATTTGCCATCCTTATGTCTTCAGTGGTGGTGTCTATTTAAATCTTTTGCCCATTTTTTTTTTTTAATTTTCAGAAAATTTATAGGATTCAAGTGTTTGTTCCATGGATGAATTGTGTCATGTTGAAGTCAGGGCTTTCAGTGTACCTGTCACCAAAATAGTGTGTGTTATACCCGGTGGGTAGTTTTTATCCTTCACTTCCTTTCCTATCCCCTTGGTTTTCAAAGTCCATTATTCTACTTTATGACCATATATGTATCTCATGTAGCTCCGCAGTGTAAGCGAGAACGTGTGGGGTGTGTTTTCCATTCCTGAGATGCTTCCCTCAGGTTAATGGATAATGCTTTCCAGTTCCATCCAAGTTGCTAACAAAAGAGATAATTTCACTACTTTGTATGGCTGAGTAGCACTTCATGCCATATATACAGAGATACCAAAAAAATGTGTGCACATTTTAGATGATATTATCTATGTAGTGCTTTTCGAGGTTGAATTGGAGGCACTGTTACCAGTCAATTTTACCTGGTCATGCCACACACATCCATTTTACCTGCAATTCATACACTGGAGGAATGATTGATTTTATTCCAATAAGATCTTCTAACACGTGTATACATTTTTTTGGAGTCCTGATATATACACCACATATTCTTTATCTTTTCATGATTTAATGGGTGTTTGGATTGATTCCATATCTTTGCAGTTGTGAATTATGCTAAAATAAGCATTTGAGTGCAGGTGACTTTGTTAATAAAATGGCTTCTTTTCCTTTGGGTAGCCCCCGCAGAGGGACTGTGGGTTAGTTAGTGGCAGGTCTGCTTTTAGTTCTTTGAGGAGTCGCTATGCTGTTTGCTACAGAGCTTGTACTAGTTTACATTCTCACCAATAGCACATAGTGTTGCCTTTTTACTACAATTGCACCAGCATTTATTTTTTAACTTCTTAATAATGGCAGTTCTGACAGGGATAATGTGTCATCCAGTTGTGGTTTTAATTTGCACTTCTCTGATGATTAGTGATGTTGAACTTTTTTTTATGTCTGTTGGCCATCTACTTATTTTGAGAAAAGTCTGTTTGTGTCTTTGTCTACTTTTTGATGGGGTTGTTACTTTTTTTTTTTTTTGAGTTCTTTGTAGATTCTGAGTATTAGCCCTTTATCAATAATACTAAACTTCATATGGAACCAAAAAAGAGCCCAAGTAGACAAAGTAATCTTAAGTAAAAAGAACAAATCTAGAGGCATCATATTACCTGGCTTCAGATTACACTGCAAGGATGTAGTAACCAGAACAGTGGGGTGCTGTTATGAAGGGAGACACATAGACCAAAGGAACAGAATAGAGAACCCAGAAATAAAACCATAAGCTATGACCAGCTGATTTTTGGCAAAGCAGACAAAATCATACATGGGGAAAGGGATGCCCTATTTAGTGAATGGTGTTGGGGAAGCTGGGTACCCACATGCAGAACAATGAAACTGGACCCTTATCTCTCACCACAGGAACTCAAGGTGGATTAAAGGCTTAAGTGTAAGACCTGAAACCATAAAAATTCTGGAAGAAAATGTAGAAAAACTCTTTTAGATATTGGCTTAGGCAAAGAATTTATGAGTAAGACTCTAAAAGCAAATACAGCAACAATAAAAAATAGCAAAGGAAATAATCAACAGAGTAAATAGACAACCTACAGAATGAATTTTATAAATTGCCATATATAAAATGGGTATGTGTCCTCCATCCTACAGTCCGGCCTTTTCCTGAGTATCATGGAGTTGGAATCGCACAGTGGGGGCCTGTCAGACTGGCTTCTTTAACTCAGTACTGTGGGCTTGAGGCTCCTGCATGTCTATTCATTCCTTTGATAGCTCGTTTTTAAAAAATTATTTTATGTTCTTTAGAAATCTTTTATTATTAGCTAACTGTGGATGTGCCTGGTTTATTCACTCATCAGCTGGAGAACTGCTTTACCCCTGAGTTTGGCAGTTGTCATTAATTATGAATAATTGGCCAGACTATGCCATTTGTGTACAGACTTTCATGTGGAATGTTTTCAACTTCTCTGGGTAAATAAATACCAATGTGCCTACTTGCTGGATTATATAGTCAGAGTATGTCTGACTTTGTGAGAATCTACTGAATTGTCCTTCCTAGGGGCTGCACCATTGGTGCCCCAGGACAAGCGGACCCGGCCTCCCCGTCCCCACCAGCACAGTGTTAGTGCTCTGGGTTCTGGCTGCTCTGGTGGGGTGTGGTGGGGTCTGGTTGATGTGATTTGCTTTTCCCTGGTGACACAGCTGCCAAGTAGCTTTCTGTGTGCTCGTCTGCCCTTCCTACACCACCAGGTGTCAAGGTCTTTGGTCCATTTTTTATTTGGGTGGTTTGTTTTCTTATTGTTGAGTTTTAAGAGTGTTCTGTGTATTTTTGATAACAATCCTTCGTCAGATGTGTGTTCTGCAGTATTTCCTCCCAGCATGTGGCTTAGACTTAATCTCTTACCCAGGTAGCCTTTAGCTTGTTCTCTTCCAGATCACCTGCCAGGCAGCTTTAATTTCATGTGTTTAATTCCACATGCTGTCTATCTGCATGTGCATCCTAAGAGATCAGGCTTTTCTTTAATCCCCCAGCAGCCATTTTTTTCCCTTTTGGGGTGATATTGGTGCTTTTGAGAATGTCTGCATTTATAAGTACCTTTTGGGGTGAGTCTATTTTAAGCATCCTATCTGCTACTGATGTTAACTAATAAAGTTCCGAATCTGGCACCATTTTCAAAACACTAAACCTCTAAACTATATGTGCTAATAACTTACTCCATTAAAAGGCTTCTTTTATTTTATTTTGCCATCTAAACATTATCAGTAAAGCCTACAAAGCTTTAAAGAAGCTCTCAGTGGTAAGAGTGCCATTTGTGCACAGACTTGCTGTGGGAGTTTGTTTTTTTTTTTTGAGACAGAGTCTTGTTGTGTCACCCTTGGTAGAGTGCCATGGTGTCACAGCTCACCGCAACCTCAAACTCTTGGGCTTAAGCAATTCTCTTGCCTCAGCCTCCCAGGTAGCTGGGACTACAGGTGCCCACCTGTTGTAGAAGTTTTGAGACAAGCCTATGAGTCAGAGGAACCAGATTCCATGTATAGGAGGTGAACCCCTCCTTCAGTATTTCACTTGAATCTGTTCTCCCTTGGAAACCCTGTAATTTATTCTTTATTTTTGAGATGGTTTTATCTTTTTCTTCAGTTTCTTCCTGAGTTTAATCCTAATTCTCATTCTATTTCTTTTTTTTTGAGACAGAGCCTCAAGCTATCGCCCTGGGTAGAGTGCTGTGGCATCACAGCTCACAGCAACCTCCAACTCCTGGACTCAAGCTAGTCTCCTGCCTCCACCTCCCAAGTAGCTGGG